TCATGCCCCAACAGGTTCAGACACCATATCTGGATTCCAATCATTGAACATTTTGTTGTGATTTTATACAATAGAGACAACAATGAAATAACTGTAAATGCTGCAAGACAAGAAATGTTCACAAAGAAAACAACTCAAATTGAGAACATCCTACCATAAGTTGCATAAGTTGGTTCCAGACAATTATACCTATGTCAGTCCTCGCTTCACCCTCACAATTGAGTTGGGAATCCATTACCACAAAGGCTGGGAAAATAATTTGGGTGCCAGTGTGGAAAACATTGCCCAAGCTTCAGATGTATGCCAAATTCTAGTAAAATGCAGCTGCAAACAACAGTGCTCAACAAAAAGATGCAAGTGCTTTTTTTGTCATTCTAGTGAACCATAAAAATGGCTCTGGCTCTTAAATCAAAGGGACTGTTGTCCTGATGATATCTGAAAAATTGTAAAATGCCCCCTCCGATCAAATCCTGGGGGGGGAGGGGGAGGGAAATATTTTTTTGTTGATTTTTTTTAATATGATCTATATTCATTTTTAGTATGTTATTTTCAGTGTATAAAAACAATTTTCAAGATTGCATTCGTATTTCTAATGGATATTCATTATTAAAGCCTGACGCCCACTTTATCGACATGTTAATATACAAGTTAATGAGTCTTCTATTATGAATAGGAAAATTACCTAATAAGGCTGAATAAAATTGATAAGATTAAGTCAGTTATTTATGTTAAGATGATGAATTCTTTAAGTAAGTCAATTGAAAGGCCACATCCCTTTTAGATATAAAGATATAATAATATATAATTCACAATTAATGATTCATTATTTTGGCTTTAAATGAGAGCACTTTACTAGCGTTTGGCATGCATCTGAAGCTTGGGGCAATGTTTTCTATACTGGCACCCAAATCATTTTCCCAGCCTTTGCTGGTATAGTGTCTGAACCTGTGGGAGCATGAAACAAGGGGAGACACATAGGCCTACCATGTCAAAGGACAGCTGCAATTTCATGGGAAGTGAGATATCTCTTAATTTTTTACTTTTCCAAAAGCTATCCATTTTTGAACTTTGAGTTCTGATGATATACTGAACTGGTACTCAGCAAGCATATTGGCAGGGTCGAAAAACGAAAAACCAGGTGACAAGCTTGCTAATTGACTGGAGATAAAGAGGAAAATTTCCCTCTCTAATAGCCTACACTTAGTTAAGGCACAGTATTTCGATTCAAATAATCTGAAACCAAAACTTAAAGACTGGTAAATTCTGTTGTTGACTGCAGGCTGTGACTGTGGCAGCCCTTCTGGTTCTGGTTCAACCCATGAAAGAGGTTTAATAGCCTAAATGTTCAGCATATGAAAAGTGGGCGTCGCCCATGACTAGTCTTTAACAACTATGAAAATCAAAGAGAAACCATCTGGAAATAAAGAGGAAAATTCTCCTGTCCTATAGTCCTCACATAGTCAAGGCACAGTATTTCAATTTGAATAATCAGAAACCAAAGCTTGAAGACTGGTACATTCTGTTGGTCAGCACGACATTCATCAAACTGTTTAGGCACTTGGTCAGCACACCATTCATCAAACTGTTTAAAGATTCCGATAAATCGGGCTACATATACCGCGTATTTACATAAGGGGATTAGAAGGGTTTATTTTTTATTTAGGTATGCAAGCTATATAAAATTAGGCCTTCTAGCATGCATGTACTCGTGTGTACAATCAGTATGCCCTTCAATATTATATAAACACAGTGTTACTATACCAGGCTATTCAATATGTACTACATAATGTACACTATTTATGTGTGTACTATATGGGAATACGATTCCCCGTGAAACAAAAGACAAATACTTTTTATATGTCCAAAATGAGACATTTGATTGATACATACACTAAATAGCTTCATAAATAACATCTTCAAAGTATATGTAATAGTAATGTTCAATTTCAATGGTGAAACTTCCCTGGTTACGATTATACGGGAAATCATCACGAGACGAAGATTGTTCGCCTTCCTGGCTTACCTCTGAATCGTGTACCTGGTAATCTCTTTATATAGTTTAGCGAGAGCGGTGCGCCTGCGCAGTTTTAAACTTTGGCGCACACTTTAAGCACATCATCATCTAAATTCTGGACAGTTGTGTCTGTAGCATAGGTTCTCTTCAGGAGAGTATAGAGACTCGACATACATGTTCATGGAATAGTGGATACATGTTGTAGATCTGGGACATTTGTTGCTTGCTTTCTTCTTCTAAACAGGGGTGTGATATGGTCTAAGCCTTCAAGAAGTCAAATGCTAAGATTAATTAAAGCACCTTACATCAAAAAGGTATCTGGTGTTATCCAGAAAACTGAATTAAATTCATTTGTTCAACCCATCTGTATCTGGTGTTATCCAGAAAACTGAATTACATTCATTTGTTCAACCCATGATAGAGATTTAATAACCTAAATGTTCAAGGTATGAAAAGTGGGCGTCGCCCATGATTAGTCTTTAACAATGATGAAAATCGATGATAAATCATCTTGTTATGTTTGCAAAATTTGTTTACCATGAAAATAGCACTCTAAAACTGTAGTATGACCATATTCAAAGAAATTTTTTATGAAAAAAATATTTCGATATCTCCCCACCCCCATGGGATTTGGTGGGATGGGGTACTTACTATTTTTTGATCATTCTAGTGGACCACAAAAATGGCTCTGGCTCTTAAATCAAAGGGAATGGTATTCTGATGATATGTGGAAAGTTTCACGCTTTGTTCTGAATGAACTATTTTTGCACTATTGATCTCGCTATACAAGGGGAGGAAGAAAATCAGCAATCTAGAACACTTTCATATCCAACAATGTTAAGGCTGAGGCTATAATATTAGAGAGCTTTCAATATAAGTTACATGTATTTGGTAAACTTGTACATAAACTTCTACTAGTAAATGAAAATACATGGTGTTACATAATGGGGGCTATTAGTCAAAAATCTCTGGATGTCGGATGTGATATAACATTCAAATGGATACCATTTATAACTTTTAACTGTATTTATCCCAACGAACGAAGTTCGGTAGGGATATAGTGAAGCCCTCCGTCCGTCCGTCCGTCTGTCCGTCTGTCCGGAAGATAACTCAAATATTAGTTGACGGATTTTCTTCATAATTGGTGGAAAGCTGTATATTGATAAATAGTTTTACGCAAAAAAAAATTTTTTCAAGATGGCCGCCGCTTTAAAAATGACGGGACTTTTTCGCAAAAATCATAAATTTTTCATTCTAAACCAAAGTAATTAATATTATTGTTTGAAATTTTGGTAGTATATACGCAACATCTATCTATTTCACATATATTCCGTGTTTTTCATCCTGACCCCAAGGGGCCGTGTATGGGGGGTCAGGAAAACAGAAATTTTCGCTAATTTTTAGATCTTTCTGAATTATAGCTTTATTATACTCAAATGAAAGGCAATTAAGAGTAGATTGCAAATATTGTATCTTTTTTCTGATTCGAGCCTCGTAAAATTCAAAATGGCCGTCTAATGTACGATTTCGCAATAATTTTTCGATCCCTTCAAAGTATGGCTATATAATACTCAAATTGAAGGAATTTTGGAGTTGATAACAATTATGGTATTATTTTTCAGATTTGTACCTCAGAAAATTCAAAATGGATTTTTTCAAGATGGCCACCGCTTTAAAAATGACGGGACTTTTTCGCAAAAATCATAAATTTTTCATTCTAAACCAAAGTAATTAATATTATTGTTTGAAATTTTGGTAGTATGTTCCCAACATTTATCTATTTCACATATATTCTGTGTTTTTCATCCTGACCCCCAGGGGCCGTGTATGGGGGGGGGGGGGGTCAGGAAAACAGAAATTTTCGCTAATTTTTAGATCTTTCTGAAGTATAGCTTTATTATACTCAAATGAAAGGCAATTAAGAGTAGATTGCAAACATTGTATCTTTTTTCTGATTTGAGCCTTGTAAAATTCAAAATGGCCGTCTAATGTACGATTTCGCAACAATTTTTCGATCCCTGCAACGTATGGCTATATAATACTCAAATTGAAGGAATTTTGGAGTAGATCACAATTATGGTATTATTTTTTCAGATTTGTACCTCAGAAAATTCAAAATGGCTGCTTTGCAGGAATTCGCAATTCTAAAATCTAAATTTTTCAATTTTAACCAAAGTAATGAGTATAATTGATTGGAATTCGGTAATTGATATTTTGTTCGTTGGGATTTGCTACTCCGCGGAGTTGCCATTATCTAGTTATTATCTGTCAGATGTCTTGGTCTAAAATAAAACAGGTTTCTTTATGATATGTACATTATAGGTCTATCTTATCTCAAACTGAGTTTGGAGGTGAACATTACGAAACACCCTATACAAATACTGGAGATAGATTTTGTTATATACCCAAATGGCTCGCTCCAGGAATCGTTAACACAGATTGGATTGATTAATACATGTATATCAAAATGGTAGTCAAAGTGTTTGGTCTGTTTCTTTTACATATTCATCTTATTAATTTTGAATGGACTTACAGTTAATTGTATGACACACATGAGCATGTTATGGTTTACATGTAAATCCAATTTATAAGTTTACCATCATCATGCATTTGTCTTTTTATATGTTCTAAACTTACCACTTAAACTTTTGTATGAACTGTGAAACATTTCCCGCGTTAATTGAAATGAACCATGTTAAAGGGTCCTGTTTGTAGAACACCATGCCACAATATTGAGTTGATAATTGTTGATTACACTGATGCCATGGATATTACTTTCGCAGTCACTGATTGATGAATGAGGTTCATAAAAACTATATAATTTCAACTGGGTACAATTCCTGAAAATCAAATTCAAATTGATTTTAGTGTGACAAGTACAAGTTTACGTATACGTTTTCAAAGCAACTTTTATCGAAGCTCTCTGTTAATGAATATGAAACTTTTAAATATTTTCTATTATTATTTATTTCTCTTATACATTTAGGTCACAGCCTTATTAGAGAAGCAACAACTTGAAGCTGCTCTAGATTGTGCACCTTCCAGAGGCTCTCTAGGCCCCGTTATTGGCACCCAAGCCCCTAGTACTACTAATACAAGCCCCGTTTTTAACCAGTCCAGTTTAGGTTCCGGCCAAAGCTTCTCTACAAGACTGCCCAGTAACATGGATGTCATGGATGATTTCTACAATCTTATAAAGTATGTGTGTTAATTTGTTTGTTGTTTGTTTATTTGTTTGTTTGTGGTGCCTCGTTTTTATAGCTAATTTAATTAAGAATTAAGTGCCATGTGATGGAGCACTGTAGTGTGGGTCTTAGGATTTTTCTATTACTCGCCAATTGCCAAGTAACTTGTGTTTTACACTCGCCAGTGAAAAATTATGTTCGCCAGTGTATATCTTTGTTTTTGAAATGTTGCCCATTGTTCCCTTTTGTCAAACCTATGTATATAAACAATCAAGTGGTGGAAGCTTAATTTAATTGACTACTTGTCAGAGGTCTGGACTAAAAAAAATAAATTAGCCAAAATAAAATAAAAAAAAAATTTGCAAAAATATCAATTGTCAGCCACTTTACCCGATTCATGCGAGCGAAGCAAGCTCAAGGAGGGGCCTAAGTCTCCCCCAAGAAAATTTCTATATTTATACCTTCAAAATTGTGCAATCTAAGCATTTCCAGGAAATCTTTCAAAAGCTTACCTTGATGCATTTTTTAAATTTCACATTTTGTATATCCTAATCATATTTTATTCCATGTCAAATTCTAAATCCCAGTCAATGCAATGAAATGTAATCACAGCTGTATATCTGAATGGCTTTGTATAAAAAACCTCCTACCTCATACCCACCTACCCATATGTGGGACATGATACAGTCATTGAAGGGTTCAAGATTTTTAAATCTCAAAATAGCTCTCTAATTATTAACATTTCTACAATTCCGGCTTTATTTTATGACTAGACGGATGCCAGATCCATAAATAAAGACATATGGGTGCATTGTAATGTGTTAATGACCCAAGGGCACCCCAGGGGAATAACTAACTAACGACCGCGAGCATAGGTCCAACAAGCCAAGATAAAGAAATTGAAAGAAAGTGTGCTAAATTCGATGCCCGAGTGGGAATCGAACCCAGCTTGTCTGTCAAGGCTTGTCTACAGGTTTCCAGCCAAATCGTTTGAGGGATTCATTTGAAATTCTCAGGGATGTTTCTATCTATGAAAGTTTAGAAGTGATTAGTTTTTCGGCATTCTGGGTAAATGTTAAGGCGGCCGTTTTAGATTTTCCGTCCTAAAATCTTGTCTGTCAAGGCTTGTCTACAGGTTTCCAGCCAAACCGTTTGAGGGATTCATTTGGAATTCTCAGGGATGTTTCTACCTATGAAAGTTTAGAACTGATCAGTTTTTCGGCATTCTGTGTAAATGTTAAGGCGGCCACTTTGAATTTTCCGTCCTAAAATCTTGTCTGTCAAGGCTTGTCAACAGGTTTCCAGCCAAACCGTTGAGGGATTCATTTGAAATTCTCAGGGATGTTTCTACCTATGAAAGTTTAGAACTGATTAGTTTTTCGACATTCTGGATAAATGTTAAGACGGTCATTTTGGATTTTCCGTCCTAAAATCTTGTCTGTCAAGGCTTGTCTAAAGGTTTCCAGCCAAACCGTTTGAAGGATTCATTTAAAATTCTCAGGGATGTTTCTACCTATAAAAGTTTAGAACTGATTAGTTTTTCGGCATTCTTGGTAAATGTTAAGGTGGCCATTTTGGACTTTTCGTCCTAAAATCTTGTCTTTCAAGGTTTCCAGCCAAACTGTTTGAGGGAGGTCGCCGGGTTGGCCTAGTGGTTAAGGCATTGGTCTGAAAAGCAGGAAGTCTGGCTTCAGGCTGAAAAAGTAGAGGTCTTGGGTTCAAACCCAGGTCACAGCACTTCTTGTGATTTGTCTTTGACCTATGACTGCTGACCTATACTGGCGATTACTAGAGTGCTGCTAACTCGATAAAAGGCTGGCGCTGGCTAGAATTGTCTATGGTTCTAGCCAGGATAAATATACCAGTTCTTCAACTCGACAATGGGAAGAACTGCTCTACCTTAGTGACTAATATGTCATGATATGACATCTAAAGAGTCAATAAAAAAGATATATATTCATTTGAAATTTTCAGGGATGTTTCTACCTATAAAAGTTTAGAATTCATTAGTTTTTCGGCGTTCTGGGTAAATGTTAAGGTGGCCATTTTGGATTTTCCGTCCTAAAATCTTGTCTGATAAATGTTAAGGTGGCAATTTTGGATTTTCCGTCTTAAAATCTGGAGGCTTGTCTACAGTTTCCAGCCAAACCGTTTGAAACTGATTCGTTTTTCGGCATTCTGGGTAAAAGTTAAGGCAGCCATTTTGAATTTTACGTCCTTAATCATGTCTGTGAAGGCTTGTCTACAGGTTTCCAGCCAAACCGTTTGACGGATGCATTTGAAATTTTCAGGGATGTTTCTCATATTGTAGTCCTCCCTAAACCATGATTCTTTATCTTTGTTCAAGGGTGCGATATTGTTCACCATGTGTGTATTATTTAAGTGTAAGTTGTATAAGCTTGATTTTTTAGGTTAAACTTGGAGAAAATGTCGTTTGACCTAAAATAATATTTTTATCGCACCCTAGGGTGCTATATTGTAATCAGTTTGCCGGGCGGTTGGGCGCGCGGGCGTCCCAAATAATCTTGTCTACAGGTTTCCAGCCAAACCGTTTGAGGGATTCATTTGAAATTCTCAGGGATGTTTCTACCTATGGTGGTTAAGAAATGATTAGTTTTTCGCCATTCTGGGTAAATGTTAAGGTGGCCATTTTGGATTTTCCGTCCTAAAATCTTGTCTGTCAAGACTTTTCTACAGGTTTCCAGCCAAACCGTTTGAAGGATTCATTTGAAATTCTCAGGGATGTTTCTACCTATGAAAGTTTAGAACTGATTAGTTTTTCGGCATTCTGGGTAAATGTAAAGGCAGCCATTTTGGATTTTCCGTCCTAAAATCTTGTCTGTCAAGGCTTGTCTACTGGTTTAACCGTCTGAGGGATTCATTTGAAATTCTCAGGGATGTTTCTACCTATGAAAGTTTAGAACTGATTAGTTTTTCGGCATTCTTGGTAAATGTTAAGGCGGCCATTTTGGATTTCCGTCCTAAAATCTTTTCTGTCAAGGCTTGTCTACAGGTTTCCAGCCAAACCGTTTGAGGGATTCATTTGAAATTTTCAGGGATGTTTCTACCTATGAAAGTTTAGAACTGATTAGTTTTTTGACATTCTGGGTAAATGTTAAGGCGGCCATTTTGGATTTTCCATCCTAAAATCTTGTCTTTCAAGGCTTTTCTACAGGTTTCCAGCCAAACCGTTTGAAGGATTCATTTAAAATTCTCAGGGATGTTTCTACCTATGAAAGTTTAGGGATGATTAGTTTTTCGGCATTCTGGGTAAATGTTAAGGCAGCCATTTTGGATTTTCCGTCCTAAAATCTTGTCTGTCAAGGCTTGTCTACTGGTTTAACCGTCTGAGGGATTCATTTGAAATTCTCAGGGATGTTTCTACCTATGAAAGTTTAGAACTGATTAGTTTTTCGACATTCTGGATAAATGTTAAGACGGTCATTTTGGATTTTCCGTCCTAAAATCTTTTTGTCAAGGCTTGTCTACAGGTTTCCAGCCAAACCGTTTGAGGGATTCATTTGAAATTTTCAGGGATGTTTCTACCTATGAAAGTTTAGAACTGATTAGTTTTTTGGCATTCGGGGTAAATGTTAAGGCAGCCATTTTGGATTTTCCATCCTAAAATCTTGTCTGTCAAGGCTTGTCTACGTGTTTCCAGCCAAACCGTTTGAGGGATTCATTTGAAATTATCAGGGATGTTTTTCCCTATGAAAGTTTGGAATTGATTAGTTTTTCGACATTCTGGATAAATGTTAAGACGGCCATTTTGGATTTTCCGTCCTAAAATCTTGTCTGTCAAGGCTTGTCAACAGGTTTCCAGCCAAACCGTTTGAGGGATTCATTTGAAATTCTCAGGGATGTTTCTACCGATAAAAGTTCAGAACTGATTAGTTTTTTTTGCACTCTTGGTAAATGTTAAGGTGGCCATTTTGGATTTTTCGTCCTAAAACCGTGTCTGTGAAGGCTTGTTTTAAAAAATAAAAAAGAATTTCCCATTGAGAGCAATGTTAAATTAAAACATTTTTTAGAAATAACTATAAACAGTCAATCTTTCCAATTTTCACATATTTTTTTGTAATACATTAGTATATCTTTTACCAGGATTTTTGTTCAGGAAAATCTGAATTGTAGAAAAAAAGCTGATACACTGTGAAGTAATACCTTAAAACGTGTCTCTTGAGGGTTGTTTACAGGTTTCATGGATTCATCCTAAAATTTTAGAGATGTTTCTATGGAAAGTTTAGAACTGATTAGTTTTTAGGCAGTCTGGGTAAATGTTAAGGCGGCCATTTTGAATTTTCCAATTTTCCATCCCGAAAAATGTATTCTGTTCAAGGGTGCGATTCTGTTCACCATGTGGCTTATTTTCTATTGTTTTCATTTCATTTACTTTCGACTCAAAGAAATTATGTCCGCCTGGGGCGATTGTCAAGTGGATACGACCTATACTGCACTGTCGTGCTCGATGTTGGTTTTTCATAAAAATAGAAAAAATATCAATTGATTTATTGGATTAAATGTGGAATCTGTCATGGGGTAAGAGAATTTCAAAATTGAATGACAGTTTAGATAACCTAGACTATATCCTCTAGTTTGATTTTTTTTTGAAATTTGGAATGAAAATATTTAGACTATAGCCCACATATGTTAAAATTTGGGATTGAAAATTATTTGTTTACATAGGAAGTGCCATTCAAAATGGCCGATTGGGTAAATTAATTTGCATATTTGTTACTTCTCCTAGCTTTATTTCCATCTGACAATATGCTGTGTTACTTTTTATAGCATTTAATTGTACCTTACTGCTTAATTGAATTGTTATAATGCTTATTTTTGGGAAGTGAAGTTTCCTAAAATTGAAAATTGTGTGCAGGAAATTTCCTGTATTTTCCCACCGGAGGGACATAATGATCAATAGACTGAATTCTCAGGAAATTCAGTCTATTGGGTATAGACTATTAGATAACCACTGTGTTCTTTATCACAACAAATAGAACAATAAATCCCTGAGACATTATCAAAGTGTACATACATGTACAGTTATTTCAAAGATTTAATGCAGAAATAGTCCAATCAAGTGTTCACATTGAAATAATATCTTCATATTAAAGAAGTTCTGATATTTTGTGGAGTCAGTGGGAAATTCTAAAGGAGTGGTATCGATATGGAGAACTGAATTCAACAATGTTTTTCTTTTAAACCAATCATTGAAAACATTCTGTAAAAGAACACAGTATTTTCAGGGCTTGCATTAACGGCGTCCTGTACATGTTTGTTTGTTTTTATTTTTTATTTATAGTGGTATTTATACAAAATAAAGTCAAACAAAATAAGTTTATGTAAAACAACCCAGCCTACTTTGGGCTTACTAACCACTTCTAATAACATTTAATAACAAGTTCAAAATATAAATATAAGTAACAGGTTCATGGATCATTATAAATCAGCTGCTGTCTTCTTACATGTGCCTCTCTAATATATTTAACAATGTTACAAGTCTTATTTTCAAAAAGATATTTAATTCTTAAGCCATCAGGCTGTATATGATGATTCAAATTACCAAAATATTTCTCCCAAAGGTCCTTATATACCTCACAATAAAATAGGAAATGGGCCTCTGACTCAACCTCATTATTGTTACATAGGGTACAAATTCTATTTTCAACTTTTTCTCCTCTAAATCGCCCTGTTTCTATGTGCAGGGGTAAAATTCCTAATCTTAATTGAGCCGAAAGGCTCGGCTCAATTTTGTAAAATTAAGTGAAAGGTATTTTTCTGCTTTAAAATCTGTCTTAAATGTTGCATATGTTCTTAATTTAGGTTTTGCCTTTACATTATTTAACCATTCTAGAGTATAATTATTTAAGAGCCTCCTTTTTAAAAGGGTTAAATCAACAAAATCAGTATTTACATATTTTGCTTCCATTTCAACAGATTGTAATATACATGTACTTCTAACTGCCTTCATCCAGTTATTATTGCGGTCTTTACTCCATTTAAAAATTCTTTTAGTAAGGCGACCACTTTCAAGATTTACAAACCTGTTCCACAATCTTACAGTTTCTATCTTATGTACAATCTCTAATGGGAGATACCCTGTCTCTCTCCGAACACCTACTAGAGGGGCAAAGCGATGAACTCCAAGTAAAAATCGTTGTGCCCTATTATGAAACTTATTACATACTTTAAGCATGTGTTGGTCACATCCCCAGACTCTTACAGCATAATTTAAAACAGGGGTTACACAAGAATTGTAAAGTTTTGTGAATGTCTTAAAACCTATATCACTGACACCCTTACAACGATTAATGATAGAACCAAGGGCTCTGCTTGCAGCATCAGACAATGTATTGGCGGTTTTAACAAAATTTCCAAACTCACTGAAGAAAATCCCAAGGTGTTTATAATCACTAGCAATTTTAAGTCTTTTACCCTCAAGTGTAAATATGTAATCAGTTACTTTATTGTTTTTGGGTCTAAAGTGTAAAATATTTGATTTGTCAATATTTGTCCTCAATCTCCATTTGAAGCACCATTTACTTACAATATCTAGCATTTGCTGCAATTTATGTTAAGGACTCAAAAATAATTTGGAGGATGCAAAAATTGAAAATATTTCCGTTTTTTGGACGCAAAATTTTTTAGGTCAATACTACAATGTGTTTACAACGATACCTAACAAAAACAAATAATTATGATCTCTCACCTTTATTTGAATCATAAATAAGGCTCAACATGATGAATATTTACAAATAATCATGATTCTCTTGAATTTTTTCGACTTAGATTTGAAACCATGACACGCCACAGTTTTTCCTATTCAGAAACAAATATAAGGTTATTCATGAAATAAAATGTATTCATTGTCGAATGAACAAACATGCATTTATTCAGTCCGTACTTAACGTTTACGTCCGTTTTAAATTCACGGCAAGATTAATTAACTTCAAGGTGTTTTGGTAAAAAATGCTTTTAAAATAAAGTTATACCTAAAAACAGGCTAGAAATAGGGGACACACTTTTTTCAAAGGACACACTTTTTTAAAAAATTGCGTCCTTGGGACTCACAAATTTTCTAACCTAATGCAAGCGCTGATTTTATGTAATGTTGACTGATTATCCCACCGAATGTAGTTCGAGAGGGATATAGGAAAGCCGTCCATCCGTCCATTCGTCCGTCCGTCCGTCTGTTTGTCCGGGCGATAACTCAAATACCGTTTCACGGATTTGATTCAAATTTTATAGGCTTATGCCTTATGGGTGTAGGACCTCTGCTCGAGAAGGAATTTTCAATATGGCCACTGAATTCAAAAAGGCCGCGATTTTTTGTAAAAAATGTAATCTTTAATAACTCAAATACTAGTTAGCGCATTTGGTTCAAATTTTATATGCTGATGCCTAGGGACAAAGTAGATATTTTCGAGTAAAAATTTTCAAGATGGCGGCTAGATTTCAAAATGGCAGCCATTTTTCGTAAAAAAACTTAATCTTTGATAACTCAAATACCAGTGAACGGATTTGGTTCAAATTGTATATGATGATGCCAAGGGACACAGTAGATCTGTTCGAGTTACAATTTTCAAGATGGCCGCTGAATTTCAAAATCGCGGCCATTTTTCGTAAAAAAACGTAATCTCTGGTAACTCAAATACCAGTTTTGGTTCAAATTTTATATGATGATGCCTAGGGACAAAGGAGCTTCGCTCAAGATGGAATTTTCGAAATGGCCACTGAATTTCAAAATGGCAGCCATTTTTCGTAAAAAAACGTAATCTTTGATAACTCAAATACCAGTGAACGGATTTGGCTCAAATTTTATATGATAATGCCTAGGGACACAATAGATCTGTTCAAGAAAGAATTTTCAAGATGGCGGCTTGATATTCAAAATGGTGGCCATTTATCGTAAAAAAGATAATCTTTGATAAATCAAATACCAGTGAACGGATTTGGCTCAAATTTTATATCATGATGCCTAGGGACAAAGGAGATCTGTTCGAGAAAAGGTTTTCAAGATGACGGCTGAATTTCAAAATGGACGCCATTTTTCGTAAAAAAACGTAATCTTTGATAACTCAAATACCAGTGAACAGATTTGGCTCATTTTTTATATGATGAATCCTAGGGACACAGTAGATCTGTTCGAGAACATTTTTTCAAGATGGTGGCTGAATTTCAAAATGGTAGCCATTTTTCATAAGAAAAAACGTAATCTTTGATAAGTCAAATACCAGTGAACAGATTTGGTTCAAATTTTATATGCTGATGCCTAGAAACACAGTAGCTCTGTTCGAGAAAAAATTTTAAGATGGCGGCTGATCTTCAGAATGGCTGCCATTTTTCATTTTCATAATCTTTGGTAACTCAACTGCCATTCGGTGGGATTTGCTACTCCGTGGAGTTGCTGTTTTTCTAGTTGACAACAATTTAATGCAAAAATTATTTAGAAATATTTTATATAACTGTTTTTGTTAACATTTTTTTTTTTTTTTAGTGCAATTATTTTTGCTCCTTTCTACCAATTCTTGAGAATAAAATAAAATGTCTTTCCGAACCTTGTTGGAACAAAATAGCATATACATGTACAGATGTACAACATATTTTAGACCTCTCAATATTATATAGTTATACGAAGGAATTTTTGGTTGATTTTAAAAAAGTATTCAAAAAATTAAAACAAAATCCCCCCAAAATAGATAAAAATCAAGATAAACCTTTTATTTCATTAACAAGATACTTTTTTAAAATCAACCAAAATTTCCTTTGTATAATTACAATATTGAGAGACCTAAACATGCTGTGTTTATGTCGTTTTGTTCCAATGAGATTCGGAAAGATGTTTCATTTCACTCTGGAAACATGATACGAAGAACAAAACAAGTGTTTTGATGTGTTCAAAAAGTTCTCCATATCGATACTACTCCTTTGTTAAAATTTCGCATTTTGAGGTCTTTAAAGAAATGTTCAAATATGCCATATGGTTCTCCAAAATATACTAGTTTGCTTATTTCAGTGAGGACCAAGAGGCAGGTGCTCCGCCAAAAGGAAAAGGATTAAAGTCAGTGATAAAAAACATTGCCAAACCAGGGTCACCCTTAGCAACCAAAAAGATGGACTATAGCGTCCCAAAACTTGCTGACCCAGGAATAACATCATCTCAGAAGAAAGATGTTAAACAACCAAGTGCAATAAGAAAATCCAGTCCAGGGCCAATCAGAGACAATAAAGACACTAAACAGAGAATAACTAAAAGTGAATCTATCAAAATAAAATCAGAAAATGTCCAAACTGTGCCAAGTAATGATGATGTTACAAAGCCAACATCGAGTATAGGTGGTGGGTCATTGGATCAAGTGAAGCAGAAACAACAGGAGCACGAGCAACAACGTAGAGAGCTTCTTGGTCTGTCTAGCAGAGATAAGGTACTCTCGGAGAAGATGTCCCCTTGAACTTGCTTAATTATCCCACCGAACGAAGTTCAAGGGGGATATAGAGAAGCCGTCCGTCCGTTTGTCCGGGCGATAACTCCAATACCGGTTGACGGGTTTGGTTCAAATTTTATAGGCTTATGCCTTATGAGTGTAGGACCTCTGCTCGAGAAGAAATTTTCAATATAGCTGCTCAATTCAAAATAGCTGCCATTTTTCGTAAAAAATGTAATCGTTGATAAGGCCATAAGAAGTAGATTCTTTGTTTTCCGTCCCCTTGCTTGCACGATTTTGAGTAAATCAGAAAAAACAAACACACCCAAATAGCAATCATAAGGGTCTAAAAGTACCACCGCATTTCGTTCAATCGGAATCAGACAAAATGGCGGATAATTTGATGTGCGTCAAAATTAACAGTGTTATTGATTACTTTGGCATATATTGTGTATTTTCTTATTTTTTACTATTGAATAATAGCTATGTTTAAACATATTGCATAAAATGTATAGATATGTGTTTGTAATCACCGCAAATTGGTATGTCATCCCTTTTTATGCCCCTAAACTGCATACATTTCTCAGCAACAAGTTTGTGTTTTTCTTGAGTTTGTGTTTGTTTTCCTTGTACCCTTGCATGATTTGGATTTTGCCAGGACGCAAAACAAAGAATCTACTTCTTATGGCCTAACTCAAATACAAGTTGACAGATTTGGTTCAAAATTTATACGCTAATGCCTAGGGACAAAGAAGTTTCGCACAAAAAGAGATTTTCAAGATGGCCGCTTAATTTCAAAATGGCGGCCATTTTTCGTAAAAATATGTAATCTTTGATAACCCAAATACCAGTGAACGGATTGGGTTCAAATTTTACATGATGATGCTTAGGGATACAGTCATGGTTCGACAAATTTTTTTCAAGATGGCCGCTTAATTTCAAAATGGCGGCAATTTTTTGTAAAAAACGAAATCTTTGATAACTCAAATACCAGTGAACAGATTTGGTTGAAATTTTATATGATTATGCCTAGGGACACAGTAGCTCTGGTCAAGAAATAATTTTCAAGATGGCAGCTTAAATTTCAAGATGGCGGCCAATTTTCGTAAAAAAACGTAATCTTTGATAACTCATATACCAGTGAACAGATTTGGTTCAAATTTTATATGATGATGCCTAGTTCACAATGGTATAAACTAACTTTGTGCCAAATTTTATGCTTCTATCACAAAGTGCACAAACATTTCAACATTTACACTAGCTATAATAATTAGTGGTGTCAATTTACAGCAAAAATCATTGGTCGATTAACTGAAGATTTGACGGTTAAAGTCGGTTAACTGACAAAAGAATTACTCGATGATTTCAAAGAAAGATTTAAAAATACATTAATTCCCCGGGATTAATTCTATCAGAATGATTTGAAAAATGATTAATCCGTGTTTATTTCTCAAATTCGTCAAGCTGTACCATATTGGTTTCACAGTTACACTACCCTTGAGTTACATACCACATTGGTTATCCTTTAGTTTCACTATAAACGCATAATAATAGAAAGAATAGCACTCGATTTTGGGTTGTTTGCAATTTGATTTTCACAATATCAAAGAGAGGCTATGACCTTTGACATATAAGCTAGTACTGACAAAAACAATATGATCATGAATATAATTTAATGATCGTATCTCCCAATCGAATTTGTCTTATTAAATTAAAACCAACACATATACTTTCGAGGGAAGTAATGCCTTGGTCACATTTGCTCTGATTTTCACTACGGTGCCCAGGCGATTGAGTATTTTGTTCAGAATTGAATACAATATTGTACAAAACACTCAATTTGCTGGGCGCCGGCTGATGGATCGGAGCATATGTGACCCAGGCATTACATAAGGATTACAATGTTTCTGATCAGGAAGTAATTATCTGTCATGTGAGCGGCTGACACTTGGAAACGGATAAGCACAGGAATACTAAAGGATTAAAATGTTTCTGATTGCGTTTTTGTTGGAAGAATTATGTGACGTATGAAGCCTAACTGGATCCAATTTTGACTGGTTATTGGTCAATTATGAGGGATTTATTTTTAGCGCCAAAACTTTCGAGCCAGTCACATTGCTTGAGCTTGACATGTGACCCTGGCATTTGAGAAAAACAAACAGATTAAGGGAAATTAATAAAACAAATAGGATTAAGTATTTATGGTCAACTAATTTGAGTGAAAATTTCTTACTCGATCAAGCTACTATCCGCGGTTAACCTTTTATCGGTTAACCATCGACAGCCCTAATAATAAGCATAATATGTTTTGTTCGGTGGGATTTGCTACTCCGTGGAGTTGCTGTTTTTCTAGTTAAAATTCACATTGTGCTGTGAAATCACTTAGCATTAAGGTAGTCAGAGTACATCAAAGTTCAAGCCTTCTTGCAAATTATTCCAGGATTCTGTCTGATGTGTAAAATTTTGTAATACCAAAAGTATTCCTTAAGTTTGAAAAGAGGGCTTAGTATGCATGTTTTACAAATGTCCTCTCATTTCTGCATATTTTCTCCTTTAAATTCCGGCTTGTTGAGAATATGACATGTTGATTTCTCTTCATTTCACCTGCACATTATTTAACTGCTATGAAATCTGTCATTTAATTGTTATACAATTTGTATTAGAGAGGTTAAGCTACATGTATTTAGCAAAACGTGAACTTCAATGCGTGCACATATAAATGATGTCAGATTTGTTTATTTTCTGTGGGTCAGCGTGGAGTTTACAGGATTTTACATGAGATTATCATATTGGTGCAATAACTCAGATGCGAGTCAGTACACTGTTGCTCATGAATATGGAATATTTTATAGATACAAACTGATGGAATTTCTACAAAATGATAACATTTTGATGAAAATTTGTAATGTGTTCTCATTCCCTCATCAGTTTTGCATATAAAACTGATTGGTATGAAAAGCTAAAACATTTATGGTTGTTTAAACTTGTATTCACTTATTTGACCCCATGACCCCATGATATTGGTAACTTGAAAGAGGTGACCAAATCTAATAGTTGTAATCATTGTGCACATTTTATAAAATTTTAATTTAGTGTTAGAAGAGTTTTTAGAAGGCATACCCCATAGAATAGGAGAAAAAGAGCATGGCTGGTCATAGGGATGGCACTCTCTGGCATGAAACAAACTGCCATTGCCAGGAATAGTCTCTAAAATTCTGCAGTGGTACCAAAGTCACTGGAATGTGACTCCAGGTCACAGCAATAGTAGCCCTAGAGAGTAAAATGTAAGGAAAGACCACCACCTGCTACTGTCATCAAAATTGCTTTATATCAACCAGTAGTCTATGAGATGAATGGCTGTCTCACCTCAAAACCAGTGTTTCATATCTATAGTCAATCAATGATTTCTTTATAACGGATGCAAGGCCATGGACCTTTAAAGAGACCACAGCTGACTGATCATAACAAAGAAAGGTGCCTTCAATGGGCAGGAAAGCACCAAAACGTTGGACCTAATCTTTGGTGTCATTTGACAGCATGTGAAGAGAAAAGATGTGTCCTCCACAAAGTTGATAATTGTGTTCCTTTCTGCCATAGACCAGAGGAAAGAGACAATAAGGACAGTGATGTGGCAGTCCATGAAGGCGATCCTATTTATGTTTTGAGCAGTATGACAGAGGTTGTTTGGAGCAGTAATACAGAAGTTGCACCCCCTTGGTTATTCCCAAACATAATTTCTAAGTAAATTGACCTTTTGGACCTCCACCAAGTACCAAATGTAAACAGAGTGTTTTGGGGCAACATTCAACTGCAGAATAATCATGCTGTTGCATATGCTAGTGGCATCGTGTTGGATTACATCAGAGCAGGCAATGTGGACCAGCAACCATGGGCACAAAAGTCAGCCAATCAGGCTAATGCAGAGCAAATGTGGGACGACCTTGGTAATGAGATTCGTGACAAAGACCCCCACCTCAAAATTTAGACATGTTACGCACTGCCCAGATTGAGGAATGGGGCCTTATTTCAGGTTTTATTCAATGCTGGTCCTGTAGGGTTGATGATTGCAGCAAAAGAGGACATAACACATATTAGTGCTATCATTGGGCAGAGGACACTTAAATCTTCATGACCAGATGTTTATTTTGTTTGATCTGTTTTACATGACGATTTGGATCGGGGTGTTTTGAAAATGCAAAAATTCTTAGTGTACCCCTGTCTAACTAACAGTAAGTTTCTAAACTTAAATGTGAATATTTTTTCTCTAAAAAATGTGATTTGTAGGTGAAATATGTGTTTATAATTTGTCTAGAAAATAAATGTTTGAACCGACTCCAAATAAATGTTCTCTTACTCCAAAATTTGAATTCTGAGCTGCCAAATCTAATATTCCATATTTATGAGCAACAGTGTAGTTACCAGTTTTGCCACCAGGTGGCTCGTTCGGGTCAGATAGCATGCCAGGTATTGTAGAAAGTTTAACTTAAAGGCGCACTATACTTAATTTAGAAGAAAAAAAATAATAATCATTGAAACATGTTACTCACACACTAGCTCAAATATGACACAAAGTTTGATTTGCTTTTATATTGAACCAAGAAAAAAGTAATCACATAGAAAAAAGCATTTGAAGTTCAGAGATCATTACACATGCATGCACATGTTAAACAAAGTGCATGTTTTAGATTACTATTGATTTAAAAGATGGCGACACTTCTATAAAAATGAATGTATCAAGTAATACAAACAACTCTGCCATCTTTCAATGACATTGATAAAAATTTGATAAATGTATATAAAGCTTGACAGATCGAAAATATTTTTTGATAATTTATTGTAAGCTTTGATGTGGTCCGTTTGAGCTGTTTTTGAAGTCAAATGAAAGATAAGGTTCTTATCAACACATTGGACATACTATGAAATTTAAATGTCAGTCTTTATTTTGCACAAAAAAGTTGAAAATTCCCAAAGTGCACCTTTAATATTCATCTGTTTTAGTGGTTCAATTTTTATATCACCCTTATGTATCTAATAGTTATGCAAATTAAAATATGTCCAGTAAAAGAAAATGTTATTTGTCCAATACAAGAAAAGATATTTCACTTTTTGTTTATCTCCCCGAACTAGAAGTCACATTTTCCA